AACTGTAAAGTGTTGTTTTATCATTTTTAAACGAAAAATATGCAATTGTGGTAAAGGGACCAAGGGTGGGCGCCTTGCCCCAAGCCCATGGGCCCATTGCCCCAGGGGTGGGGCAATGGGCCCATTTTGACACTTTTTACAAAATAATGTTTCATTAAAAATTGAATAACTCTATAGGCGCCTAATTCACATCATACATTCCTCATTAGTCGCACCTTTAAACAAAACAAAGAACCACCTCGTATCATTTAAAACTTCGTCAAAATTTTAGTTTAAAAAAAGTGGGGGGCGCGCTGCCCCACGTTACCCTATATAATTTCGGTTAAACTACTATTTAAGGATTGACATATGAATTGAATTTCGTCTTTAACAATGTTCGTCTACTAAGTTATATGAAGAAATTAAAAAGTTTTCTTCCGTCCTTCCATCCCCATGTTCTGTCCCTCAATCCCCTCACGATTTAACCACTAAATCTACAATTTTAGATCCCGTTAACATCCCGACATAATAGAATAGAATAGAAATATCGGCACTGAAGAAATAGGCCAATGGCCCGTTGCCGATTCTTGTACTATTCGTGACTTGATAATATTTATATAATATACTTTTCGATAATAGATATTTTAGGTATGAGCTTAAACATCGCCTGGACATTCACAGCGCTCTATGTATGGAATACGAACGAAAAAACGTAGGGAAAGAAATAATAGGCGAGCAGATCCACTTGGCTTAGCTCGGAAGGTTCGGAAAGAAGCAGATTAACCTGTCAGGTATATAACACGAAACGTTCTACGGATGGGAATGATAAGATAAACTAAACACATTTGGTGTCTGAATAATTTACAAAGAAAGGTATAGAATGCAGACATAATTATTAACAGGTAATTGCTGAAGCTGTGGCAGAGAATATTCGAAGTATCAATTTTGAGAATATGCGAGGAAAGCAATAAACATAGATGTTCAATTCTAGTGTTTCATTCTTAATAAACTACTATGTTTTTTCACCAGAGATGCAATTATAGTGTGAAAATCGTACACGCGATACCAGGATAGGCTTCAACCAAGTATGGCGATGCACGACGGTTTCTTGGTTTGGTTCTAAACTGGATCGAAATCAATCATATTAAGTAAGCAACTTCAGAACTAAGAAGTTAAAGGGGATTTGTGCATACATCACAAAAACCTACTACATGAAAAATAAATCCTAATAATTCAATTGATGAAAATGTTTAATCTGCAACAACAAATAACAACAACCATAAAATCAAAAAATGAATTAATCATCGTCAAACCTCGGAATGAGATTTGGTGATTTTTTGGAGGGTTTGGTTTTTGCTTAGCACAATTTTTCGAGTTGTGCTCTAAGGCCAAAAAGTGTTACTAACGAATATGTGTCACTAACGAATATTGTAATGAAGCCAAAATAACAGTATACACAGGCCTGAGGTACCCTTGCGAGTAGTTACTACCACAAACGCATGTATAGTATAGTATAGTATAGTATCTTCGGCATTAAATAAATAGGCCTGGATAGGCCTGTCGCCGATTCTTGTACTTTTCTTGACTAGACTGGCCTTACGGAGTCTGAGGTACTCATGCACGCGAGCATTAACCTCGCTCCCACATCACACTTATATGCAGGGCATGGGACAACGATCAAGCTTGTAAAAATATGAACTAATTTTATGGAAGTAATTCAAACAAACAAGTTTGTTCTCTGTATAATATGGTCGGATGACCTTATTCCGGTCAAGAAAGTACTACCCATTCAAGCAATATCAGACTTGACGCTTTCCTCGGCTTAAAAATTTCGCAGAAAATATTCTGTGTCCGCGCCAATCAAGAGCAAGGGTTGACCATAATCAGATACAACAAGGTTTTGATAACTTCTTGGCTTCTATTAATTCGTTCCTGCTATTACCCTTCTGCAGAGGTGGGCAGTAGCGCGCTACATGTAGCGGCCGCTACTAGCGGCCGCTTCCTTTTCAGTAGCGGTAGCGGCGCTACATTTAAGCAATTGTAGCGGTAGGTGTAGCGCCCGCTACATATTTAAGTAGCGATACGAGGTTCTGCCGCTACAGCGCTACTGCTACATTAATAGATAAAGCCTGTAGATTTTACTTAATAGTATTAAATATTATTTAAAAACCAGCATGATACATACATTATATAAATTACAAAATAAAACTGTACGAAAGATTTCGGTGTAATGTTGTTAGCTTCAGCCTGTTACTAGTGTCAACATGTTAGTTGTTACCAGAAGTGGGCAGTAGCGCACTACATGTAGCGGCGATCAATTTCAGTAGCGGTAGCGGCGCTACATTTAAGCAATTTTAGCGGTAGCGGTGTCGCCCGCTACTTTTAGAGCATGTAGCGGTAGCGGCCGCTACATTCCAAAGTAGCGCTGCCCAGCTCTGTCCTTCTGTATCACTGCTCCGCTGATTCTATACATGTAGCAGTCTCCAAACTGTTATCTATATGCCTATATCTATACTTATATATCAGTCTCCAAACTGTTATCTATATCTATACATATAGCAGTCTCCAAACTGTTATCTATATCTATACATATAGCAGTCTCCAAACTGTCATCTATATCTATACATATGATATAGCAGTCTCCAAACTGTCATCTATATCTATACATATGATATAGCAGTCTCCAAACTGTTATCTATATCTATACATATACCGGTCTCCGAACTGTTATCTATATCTATTCTTATAGCAGTCTCCAAACTGTTATTCACTTCAGCGCCGAGATCAATATGTTATGTTATGTTACATGTAGCGGCCGCTACAATTTCAGTAGCGGTAGCGGCGCTACAGTTAAGCAATTGTAGCGGTAGCGGTGTCGCCCGCTACATTTAGAGCATGTAGCGGTAGCGGCCGCTACATTTCAAAGTAGCGCTGCCCAGCTCTGTCCTTCTGTATTACTGCTCCGCTGATTCTATACATGTAGCAGTCTCCAAACTGTTATCTATATGACTATATCTATACTTATATAGCAGTCTCCAAACTGTTATCTATATCTATACATACACTGATACACCAGTCTCCAAACTGTTATCTATATCTATTCCTATAGCAGTCTCCAACTGTTATCTGTATCTATACATATAGCAGTTTCCAAACTGTTATCTGTATCTATACATATACCAGTCTCCAAACTGTTATCTATATCTGTACATATACCAGTCTCCAAACTGTTATCTATATCTATTCCTATAGCAGTCTCCCAACTGTTATCTATAAAAACGACCGCATGCTGATGATCACCGCTTTACAGCCATTGGTGCCTTTTATCTGACATAGACTCATAATAAATGCAAACATTCAAAACAAGTCACGTCTCTTTTCACCACCTCGGTACGTTTCTTATTATTAGCGAAATATGAGAGAGATTATATTGAAATCCAGCTTATTATTTCTTCTTAAGCTGGAAGACGGAGCCAAGCAAATAATGAACCCCAAACGAGAGTCGCTTTTAATATTTTCGAGCAGACACTAGCCACAGACTTTTTTTCTAAATAAATAATAAATCTTCGCAGACTTGTCTCTCGGATTAATATTAGAGGGTTAAAAATGAAATTGCATTCAGTCGTGAAATTTATTGGATAGTCTACATATGGCATTCTGCATTCTGAGTACAACAACTTTCAGCTCACAATATCGAAAATAGAGAAAATTTTTGTATTGTTTAAATGTTATAATTATTTGTAGGTAATGGAAATTGTGATGGCATTACTAATAATATTAGGCCACATCACAATGAAACCTTCTTCTTGGAGTTTTAGTAACAAATATTGTAAATTTTTAAAGGCGCTAAATATTTTATGTTTGTCTCATGTAATTAGTCGGCAGAGAGAATTACTTCTAAAAGTTAATGATGATCAAACTGAGACCGCAATGAAAGCCAGCATGAACGCCGGACATAAGCATCACAATTATTGGTAAATACGGTATTTTAATTTGAATCGTTCCGCTGAATGTTGAAATGGTTTCACGACCTCAAAAAATTTACGCACGCTCACGTATAGTACGTCACATATGCAGAGATGTATAAATTTACAAAGAAAAATTACCCGCACAATAGAACAAATCAACAGGTGTCATTTCACTCTTGTCTTTTCTCCAATGCCTGTACAAATTAGAAATAGCTTATGACATCAATAAGTGAGCAGGCAACAAGAATAGATCGTAGCACGCAACAAACGTGTGCCGAGTATCTTATTGCTTAACACAACAGCTCGTGTGAGTTAAGAAGAAACCAGGGTATATTACCAAGTCTTAGTCTGCACAAAATGCCATCGAAATATAAAAGAAGAAATAAGTAATCAGAATTAAATGGGAAAATATGAAGAGAGAGCTCTTCCCATCATAGCAGTGGATTAAAATTTTAGACCTCAAGTTAAAAAAAATGCATTGGGCGTGACAACCATCGAAGAACATGAATAAATTAAGACAAAAACATTATGGATAGCAATAACAGTAAGAAAAATAAATATTTACAATGGAAAGTCAAGTTAGACGCTAAAAACTTGACGAATTTACTTTTATTAAATTGCACGTAAAAAATGTCCTTAATACACAGAGAGCAACTTAGGAAAAGCAAACCGAGAGGGCCATTCGAATGAAAATTAAAACTGGTATAGCATATATATATGGTGATCATTTTTGCGAAAAGAAGTATAAAATGATATGCACTTCGCTGATATGTCGTTAACATCCATTTAGGTTGCACATTTCGTCTTGCTCTGAATCCTAACTTCACGGCATATTGCACAATATTGCTAGATTCGTACGCGTCGTAAGTCTTGCTAAATTTGATAAATTCCTAATTGAGTCGCAAAGGTGGAATCATTTTCGATTGAAATTGAAAGAATCCTTCCTTCTTATTTCTAAGCGTCTTCAAATTCTCGCATACAGCGGAAAAAAGTGCATTTAAAATCGAGAATCATCATTTAATATCTTTTGAAATATTCATAGAAATCTTGGCACGTCTGAATATGTTACAACATTTGCTAATTCTACGTGCATTTGGCATCGTTTCAAATGATGTGCAATATCGAAACAACCGTGACAAAGTCAGATCAACTTAGGCCGAGGAGTGTTAGCTAACGTCAAGAATTGAGCATTTTCATCACCAAAAAACGCTCTAAACTTATTATGGCAAAACATAGCACAACTTGAGAGAGACAGGCATCACGGGCATGGCTGCGTATCAAATATTGGCAGGTTTAATGATGGCTGCTACAGGCGCAATGATGTGAAAAATACGGATACATTCTTAATCTCTTTGACACGCAAGACTCAACATTTAAATGTAGTCGATTAAGATGATATCGACGAAATAAGTTCTTTATCGCCTTATAACTAACCAAAATAATATCGCTGGATGAAATACAATTCCAAATATATTCAGATAATACAGATTATTCCGTTCCAACGTGAGAAGGCAAACAACGGAAAGAAGGATTTTCCAAGCAATTATTATATTGTCTTTTACGTGCCGCTCGATAATGTGTGGATTGCTATTATTTGCGAGCGCAGTAGATGCGCTGCAAATACATCAGGGTCGCTAGACGAGATACAAGCGAGTAGCCTATTTACCTACTTACTGATGTCTTCACGATATAGTTTCGAAATGAAATGATTTTAGAGCTGAATACCGTATCATCTCAAATCATTATGGGACATTTATGAGGTGTAAATGTGGCTTGTTATCACGATCTCTGACATTGACTTGGTTTTAGAATTCATTGATCGTTTAAAGTTAAAATAAATTCATGAGTTTTCAGTAATAAAATCAACTGCACTGCAAAATACTCCTTGGAGCTTGGTGTCAATAACGTCTGAAACATGGAGTTTACCTGCAAGTTAGGCTGAGATTTTTTCGCTATGCAAGAAATTTTGGAATCAAGATTAATTTGTTCCAAAATTTCCTAGACCCCACATAGAACAACACTAATAAAATAAATGTTATGAATTTTCCACTGCCTGAGGACTATGCAAGCGAGAACAACCGACGTCATTTGTAGGGAACACCGATTTGATTCGGCGAGCTTCTTTACATAGTAAAGAATTTGGTGAATGGATGGATAGCCGACTCATAAAACACGATTCTAAACAATAGGTGCGTTCATGGCAGCAAAAATGTTCATCAATTAACCCATGCTGATATGCCTACACTCAACATGAAAGTAATGGATCATATTTACAATGGGTGAATGACAATGGAGCGACCGACTTCATAGAGAGCAAAGGAACAACTCGAGATGCGGTCACATCAAACCTAGCTTATTTTAACGTCTACACTAAAGGATGAAGTGATGCGTAACAAGAGATGATTATCATCCACATTAAAACAACGTTAAAGAGAACATTCGATAATTGAGAATTCAGACCGAAATATACACAAAAGAAAAAACATCGTAACGTATTAACAATAATGGGCTTAGGTTTGTTGGTCGGAAAAATCAAACCGACATCGCCCGCGATGGAGAATCTAGTTCGTGTTAGAGCCATCGAGCAAAATATCTGTCTGGCGCACTTGCGTAAACATCATTGATATCTGACCTTTGCTGGTCGAACATTTTGAGCAACGTTTTGTTCATGTGACTCCTGAGTAGCAATACTACAAGATAAGAGGAAGAGGCAAACCCATTTTCTAGCTCGACATCTATGCAGATGATTTCAATGACAAATATTAAATAAATATTATACTGGGAAATTATTGCGTACATTTTGGTTAATTAAATATCTCTTCTATAAAATCGATTAAAAGTCACAGCGGTCTTTTACAGTGGTTGATGATTTATTTAGTCCCAGTGATGTACTCGGCCATATAAAGAGTTTACCTGACCAACTGTCAAGTTGGCTAAGTTAATAAAAAATTACCAGATTTAATTTAGGAAGACTTACTAGCAAAACAGTCAACTTAATATCTAAAATTCCCCTGTACTAAAAATTCCGCTTATCTGGCATAATAGTCAAATAAAGAAAACAACCAAATTGTAATGGGTTTCGGTACCGTAACATATCAGTGAAATACTGTCAAGTAACTATATATACCACAACAAATTCACAACCGTACTTGAATTGAGTGTTTGCATATAATGTTGATCCGATCGAGCCTTGCCGCAAAGGACATTATTCGCAAAATTTTTTGGTAAGGCCTTTCATTTAAGCTAACAATTTTCGAAATTGGTTGGCTTCAGTAAAATAAAGTTCAAGTTCAGGCGCATCCTCGTGAACTGATTGTAAACGAGTTTTGTTGATATATTCCGATATTCCTTGCTATTATATTATCGATATACTCTGAAACAATTCAAAATCGGAATTTTCAAAATGATAATAAATCCTTAATTTGGAACTACGTCTGACCAAGAGATAAAGTTTGTAAATATGATCTAAAGAAAACAATAATTATTTTTCAGGCGGGCACATTGTAGCAGTGCTCAGGCCACTGCTATTTCTTCTCCATGTCTTTGTTCTTGATGTCTAAAGATTGGGAGACTGTCAGGTGGTTGTTTGTTGAAGGGTAATTCTTCTCAAGGTACTTCAAAGACTCCGTCAGGAAATTCTGCACAAAAATGACTTCAATTAAACAGAAGCATCTCACAATCAAACATACTGTTACTGTTTGATATAACAGAAAGTACGTATTTAACAATATTTATAATGATTCGCTAAGCCTCAAGTGCAATTAATTATGTCTTTTCTAATTTTTAATAAGATACTTTTTCTTGTACCAAGGCTTTCAAGAACAAGACAATGCAGACCAATGCGCTATACAAGTCCCCGGTGCCAGCCAGCACCGAAGTGATGAAATGCTTCCTAATATACGATAGCTTTATGCTCGATGAATTGAATACACAGATCAAAACAACTATATATATGATCGATGAATTGAACACAGAGATCAAAACAACTATATTTATGATCAATGAATTGAACACACAGATCAAAACAACTATATTTATGATCGATGAATGGAACACACAGATCAAAACAACTATGGATATGACACCTGAATGTCTATTATTTAGTTTAGTTTTAATTCTGACGGCAACATGAGAGCATCTCTGCTGACCTGAATGGCAGTAAGTGCTGCCACAATAGCCGGAGACCCGAAGCCATGTGTCATGAGGGAAAAGTGAGTCAAGTGCCGCTGGATCGAATGATCTAGGATGATCTGTGGCCGGGTATTGCAGAGAGGCGATCGATCTTGATTCAACAGGTCCATCAATTCCTTAGTGATAGTTCTGAAATGAAGATGAATGTCGTAAGGGAAAGGTTACGCTTTCAGAACATCAAATATGAAGCACATGCAATCGTGAAGCACATTCTTCAGCACCACCACAAGGTTGATCTTAACATGCTCTTCAATCAATTTATTGGATATAAACAAACAATAAATTAGGTTCATGTTTCCGTTATTGACAAGTTAAATTTCTGTGCATTATACTCACTTTGTGTTGATTATAAGTTCCTTCCTCCTGTACGGGTCAATAGGATCCATGTGCTGCCGGCAGAGATACTCAGCAATTTGTCTAGCCGGGAACTCCGTCTCACAAACGTAGCCAAAGTCACGCGCCATGTGTATTGCTTCGCCTGTAATTTAACTCAGCGTTAGATTACTAATACATCGAAACTAATAAAGGAGACTGATAGAAATTATTCGGTCCCAATAGCATGATTGTTTTTCTCAGTTTACATAGAACATAGTTGGTTCAATGTAATTCTGATGGAGCATGACCAAAATAAATGCTTAAAGTATTGCGTAATTGATAAAATTGTGTAGTGAATTAAGAAAGAAGATTATTGTAATTATTAGTTTCTTATAATAAGAAAGACAGGTGGACCATGAGTGCCTGAGGTTTTTGGATTCAATTTTACACGATCATTAATTGGTTGTTAGTGGCTGGTAAGCAATCGACACCAAATCTAAAATTTATGTGAGAAAACCGAGATAAAAAATGAGTTGGTGCTGTTATCTTGGCTGACATGTGTCAGAAAACATCGTTTGCTACGTCAAGAAACGTGATATACTTTTAATTTTTGGCGATCGTTTCCAAATCATATAGCGTGCAAATAGGTTTAACGCATTTAGTATTCATTCAGAGAGTCAATGGAGCGTTAGCTGGAACTCCATGAACGAAGAGAAGAGACAACAACTCGCATCTGCGCAGAAGTAACAATGAGATCGCCAAGGCAGGCAGGGAGATGATTGATTTCGTTTATCACCGGCGCTCAAAAAAATAAGTAGTAGCCGTATTAGGACACGTCGATCGAAACGACAGGGCTGCTGCTTCATGCACGCCGTGCGAAGTATAAAGAAAACACGACGAGCCTTCTTTGCAATCCTGCTCCATTTTGAGAAACAAATTGGGTCATCGTGACTCAGGAATTCATAGGGTTCTGTTCAGGGCCAGCGTTAATTTCATCTGTAGCGAGACTGGCCGGCAATGATTTAGGTGTTGGTGCCCATAATTAGGGGCTGTCGCGACTCCAGTGCCATGATGGAGAGGCCACGGTCTGGCAATGTCGTTGCCACCACAGCAGGTAGTGGCAGCCATCACTTTTCTTACTGTCGATTCGTATCCCAGGACACAAAGTGACAGTAAATAATCGAAATGCCCGTTAGTCCAGATCAGAGCCTTGACTTGGTCAATATATCAAAACTTTTGATATCAAAGATTCGCAACAGTTTCTCAAGACCCGAATCAAATGTTAACGAGCAAATTTAAACAGAACGTAATCTTGAATACATTCCAGTCGCTTCTTGCAGCGATCCCATTACTCAGGCCACAGCTCTCATATCATATATGCACTGTTCTACAAACAACAAACCAATTAGTAACATGATTGCACGTTCATATAAGAAGTAAATTCGGTCATCGGCCTTCAAGCGCCTACTGAAAACATTTATAGGATCTCGAAATGTCGTCTCACCAAAAAATGTAAAGTGCTGTCGTGTTTATGCAAATGACAAATGTACAGTTACAAACGCTTGATTGGATGATACAAAATTTCAAAAGAAAATTCAGTCCACCGAACAGACAGAAAAATTAAACACAGGACAAACTAAGGGCAATGGGATGTTCGTAATTAACATTTATCGTCATAAACGTTGCGCGAGAAGAAGCGTGGTATTTTTAATGGGAAACGTATATATGATTGAAAATCATATTTCTCTTAATGAGAACAAAGATGAATAATACATAAAGTATAAAGGCTAAATCTCACATGTACCGGGACTCTGAGGAACCTACGGCTGACCAAATATATGCTCGCTGCGACAGCCAACTTTCATAATTAGTACAGGTCCTTTGACGAATTCCAATAAACCATGTAGCTCTGTGTCGTATGTATCGGCTATCGCACGCCGGCTGTAAGACACTTTGCTATTTAATTGGGAAGAGCTGGCATCCAGAGGGCAAGTCGTGTTGGCGCGGCGTGACCTCAGACAGCTACTCGGTTACGCACTCTCTTCAACATCACAAATCTCAGGCCTGATCTCGGCATCAATTAGGCATATAAAAGAGCCAATGATGCACCTTAATAGGCATGAATAGGTTCAGCTCGTGTGAGTGAAATAGACACGACATCAGGTCTCGTGGCTGCGTCAGCGAGAGGTATTATGATGACGTCGATCAGGGTTGGAGGATGAGACGCTGTAAATGATCGTAGACAATGCAGAAGATTGGAGGTGTTTGTGGCTATTGCATTTCCTACGATTATTGCAAGTTTGCATCATATGACCCTTGCATGACAGGGTTAAATGTAACCGTCTACTGAGCCGTAAATAATTTCCCGTTCTCCGCATGTATTTGTGAGAACCCTTCCTGATGATGTTCAACAAAGAGTATTCCGAAATATGGCTAAAATTGGCTGTATGTACGGAACATGGGGTGCAAGGACACGCTGAAATATATGATTCAACCAGAACAAAATATATAAGTAAGTGTAATAACTATAGGTTAGGAAATTTGGGCAAAAGAGATTATGCTGAGAAATTATATCGGATGAATTTCATCCGAGGACGAATTTTTCCTTCGACTCATTTCTTTTCTATGGCTTTCGAAAAGTCTCCACTGAACTCAAAATATTTTCATAGTGTTAGAAGACTGATCAATAAACTCCTGATCCTTTTTGAAGTCTCGGTTGGTGTTACATGCCGATGAGGTACGAAGCGGCGCTGTAGGACTACCTGTCTACGCGGCGGAGTTCCTCAACAAATTATTAGGTTTCGCTAGGCGATAGCAGAGCCGCGATAAGAACGGCGCATGTTGCCAGCTTTTCTTGAGCGTCGCGGGATGGTTATAGGTTACTATCAATGGCGGACGCCTGCTTGCGCCTGACCTTGCGATGATTTCTGCTCCGAAGTCGCGAAAAGATTTTGTTCAGTTCTAAGCGGCCATGCGCAGCGAGTAAATGATGCGAAGGGAGAGGGTTAGAGAGCAGCAAGAAGTGATACACAGAGAAGGAGAAGAAGAGGTTACAAGATGAGATGAAGTGAATAAGGAGCAGCAAGAAGAGTGTAGTGAAGGGGGAGCAGCATGAAATGCATAGTGAAGGAGGAGCAGCATGATATGTATAGTGAAGGGGGAGCAGTATTGTGAGGGCAGTTTACAGGCACGGCTTGTCCAGATGATATAAAGTGATTCAATGGAGGAAAGGCATGAGGGGCAGCGTGTGAAATGACATTATAATGCACAGCGTGGAGAGGCAGCACGAAGAGACAGAAGGAGCACTGTGAAGAGGAAGGGTAGTTTGTAGAGACAGCATGAAAGGCTGCGAGTTGTGTGAATAGGCCAAGAAAAGAGGCACTATGGATGGGCAGCTTCTATACGGACAGTATGAAGAGGCAGTAGGAAGAGCAGCGTGAAGGAGCAGCACGAAGGGCAGTGTGAAGGGGCGTAAGTGGCTGGCAGCGGCAAGACGCTAGCCTATAATTACGCCGGCACAAAATGGACAGCGCGTCCAGCACCAGCCTCGTCGGCTGCCTGCCTCGCGTGTGCAACATGGGCAGCGCAACTCCAGCATCTCCATGCCTCGCGTGTGCAACATGGGCAGCGCAACTCCAGCATCTCCGTGGCTCGCGTGTGCAACATGGGCCGCGCAACTCCAGCATCTCCGTGCCTCGCGTGTGTAAGCACGAGTGAAAATTTTTCATTTTAACCTTTGACTGCAACATTTCTTGTTTTGATTTTTATTAAGGCTTTGAAACGGTTAAACCAATTAACTGGCAATCAATGCAAAAGAATATTCGCTCTTTGGCAGTGCGGATTTGATTATTACCGTTCGCTTACCTTCGACAAGTGAAGTTAGTAGCGTTACGTTGGCAGCCTTCCTCCGTCCAGCTGGTAAATTTAAGCCAATTTTGTCGAGTTTGTCCCGTAAAATTCTGCCGCCGTTCTTGCTCTTTGCTCTGTAATTAGAAAACAAAATGCATTAGATGTACCAATTATTAAAACTTGAAACATGCGACCCTAATTGATTGAAGTGCCATAAAACAAAGTGAGAAGTTATTATGTTCTCCGACGGAACTTCAAATGATGAGTCGATGAATTGCAGAGAATACTAAGCAGCTTATCTTTCATCCCCTGCGAAGTAGAAACTATTATGATCTTTAAATTTGCTTTCGAATTTGGCGACGTGAGCATATTCCTTATTCCTACGCATCAGGGAACGGCCCGTTGGCCACAATAGATAAAGCTGTAATTTTCACAAGGGTTAAAAAGAAATGCAGGAATTATCACGATTGCACCGCAACATTTCTGAACAGAACAGAAGCGAACAGGACACGTTCGGCAAACACTGGAGTGAACCGAGGTGACGCAGACTCCTGAAAAGTGATAGTGTTCGTGCACATCGCGCGCTGCGAACCACGGACTTTGTGTGAACTTTCTCGGCAAAACAAAGCCCGGGATTCGAGGGTCGCGTAATTGGGTACATAATTTGCTAAGAAACTGATAAAAAATAGTCCACTCAGATGCTGATCACTTTCAAAAGCGGCTCAATCTTTGGAATTAATGGTGTATATGTTAATTGATGTAGTACTAGAAAAAATTTTTAATGCCTCTTTTATGACTATTAGAACTCGTGGAAAATGCGGTCTTCATTGTGAATTTTGCTCACATTATTTTATTTCCGCACGAAACATGACGAGGTTCTAAAACTTTGACTGTAAAATTTTGATATTCGTATTTGATATTCAAATACGTATCGCATTTAAATTGCTCAAAACTCCTTCAAAATTTGCGTCGAAGGGCAGAAGGCCCTCGTAAAATTAAAGACCGTTCATATTAGGCCTTAGCCATATTCAGACAGCTTAAAAATTCAACAAAACATATCAAATCCAACAAAAAGTAAATAATGAAGATTGATCCTACCTACCGCCGCGCACAAAAAGGGTGCAAAAAGCGTCATGATACGCGAGGCTTCATTTAAGTAGCAATTACTCCGCGATGTCTCTCTCAATTGATCATATAACAGTCTACCTCTCAAGAATCAATGTACCCGCAGATATCGCGGCTAGTTCTACAAACAACGATATTACGTGCATCTGCAATAAAATTTCTTGGGGGAAATTGCCAAAACAAGGAGCATATTGTCCTATCATAAATCCCGTTTCATTGAGGGTCTGTTCAGAAAATAAATAACAGCTAAGATAAACATAAAAAATACCTGCTTGATGAGTCCATCGATGGCCGATCATCTGTCATTAATTAGCTACTTGAAAAGGATCTATTTGAAGCATAATGAGTTTAATTGTAAAAACATCTGCAATGGAGCATTCGGGATCGTAGCGTACTAAAGAAGCACAGAAGCATGCACGGTAATCTGCATTTGCAAGCAGAGTTCAAAGTGGAGGCAGCCACATTTGCAAATTAGGTATGGATTATCAGCGGCCGATAATCGGTCTTCCACCGATCGCCGGTGATTTTTAGTGGGGTGAGAGCGACGAAGACTAGGTAAGAGTCCCATGTCATGGCATGAGACCAGAAGTCCTGACGCTCATTGTGAGGGAGAGCGCGAGAAGCTTTGTGACATTCTGATTGCTGATGCTTATCTGGAGGCCAGACAATGTCCTGCAGATGCCTACATAAGCTTGCACGCTCGGTGGCGAGCCCAACACTTTCGAACAGCAACGCAACATGCACCTTAAAGCCATCAAAACACAATACGTAATCATGACAAAATGAAGCATGTCCGTCGATCGGCTGCTCTATGGCTTGCGCTGCCGGAGTTGCGGGACAAGCGTGAAGAGAACAAGCGTAGAGCAGCCGGTCTGCCGCACATGTTATGGAGAGCGTGTCTGCGACCGGTTGGCGAGAGGAAAAACTTTGAACCTTCAACCGCTCGATGTTCGTGGGATTCAAGCAGGAGTAGCATTACGGGAAAATAATTAATTCATCCAATTAAGAAGCAAGTGCATTTTCGATATTAGTGGCTTTAATGCAAAAATGGCTGATTCAGTTTAAATTAATTACCCTGAATTATTTGGTTTCACTGGCAATCATATCTATAAATGCAAGCCCAAATTTAAAAATTTTTGGGGGAGCGCAGCCTTGGGTAACAAAATTAACTCGTAAACAGGCCCTGGGCCCAACGCCAACCATCAGCATGCAATATCTTCACATAGCCTCAGATCAATAAGCTGTGGGTAACTCCGTTTTTGAATACAATGCGTCTCTATACATAATATAAATCACTTCTCCTGTTCAGTTTGTGTACTTACATACATTAAAATACAATTTTTCAAGTGTACGAATATTTATTTCCCCCCACTGTATATGAATCGCACTGTGGACTTGGGCTATGCTGACCTCTAGCTATCCACCCACTTTTTTGCATTCAGCGATGAATTTCAGTGAATAAAGTAAAGTGAATAAATGAAGTTAGCAGAAAGCTAGAAGATATAATAGTCAGAAAATGCATGCATGGTTACATAATATTGAAATTTATTACCATACCAGCTCACTTTGGTGACGACAACTCAATTTATAAGTTATTTTCCCGCTTCCAGGAACGAATTATGAGCAACATTTTTCACACTTTCGATGAAGGGGAGACGATGATATTTATTTGCGTTGCATCCAAAAATTAAAATGAGGGCCTATCCGCAAATTACGTGGCTGGATATTCAGTAAAAAAGCCTCATTAATAGAATTAAAAAAAAAAAGAAGCCGAAAACGTAACAGCTTCACAAAGCGCCGGGCGACCTGACATTGCGACTGCGCGCTCTCAAAACAACGCAGAAATTGATGTCCGTAAGAATGTGTGAAGTCAACGTGTATTACGACGAAACTAAGTTAAGCCGCCGTCATGATTTGAACGCGGCATTCTGGGGCCACGCAGTGGAAGATAGACGAGTGACAAGTTTAATTCTCATTCATTATTTGTTAGTTCAATCGATGAATATCACCAGGAGGTGATGATTGATAAATATCACCATTACCTTAATACCTGCTCAGATGACGATAGGTTTGACTTGATACCACCCAATTTCACGTTATGTGTTGACTTAATACCAGTTTATTTTATATTGGGTGGATTCGGCTTTTACTCCCCGATTCCTATCAGGTCAACTAATCTAGCTAATTAACTGGACAAAAATTAGTTGCAGCCATGACACTTTATACAGAAGTTTGCACGAAAGAGATTCGCGGTTTCATTAAGAACGCAAGCACATTAATCATTGGAAAAATAATAATCAGTTCCCGCAGCCGAGATAAATAAACACGACACCCGAAACCATCAACGAACATATCCGTCATGGATATGATATTTTTTAATTTGTACACGTTTTTTTAATATTTGAGAAGAGGGTTATTGTTGATCGTTGCAGGTTTTGGAGCTGTCAACATCGGCTGATCCTTCTTAAGCTGGGAGGAAGAATGTGACTCCGCCTGAACAAAGTTAGACCAACGAACCCTAGGTGCGCACAATATCTGTCATGCTCACATACAACGACGGTTATACAGAGGCCATCAATGACTATGGTTAATCGGCTATGAATTCTAATAGGGTAGGAGAGAACTGGTCGCAAGGATCGACAATCTTGCATGAATGTTCCATTTCCGGCGATCACGCTGCTAGGGCCTCCCCTCTCCACCGCTACGCTGCGATCTCGACTAGGCGAGCTTCGGACGATGAAAATCATGGAATCATCGTTGAACGCCCCCTAATATGTATTATTGAATTATATGGGCCTGCAATTGATACCTTTTAATGAAATAGCAGAAAATTGGCAAAAATATTTTACGGTGAAAAATCTGAGAAACTGAAACTATCATACTCAATTGAAAATGAACTTAATGATTGTGTCCTTTGCAATTAGCCAATGATTTCGGCCGGAACGTTTTTTTTCTTCATCTTGAGAAGTTAGATATTGTTCACAAAATTGAACAATAAATTTTTTAGAGACGAGTAAAAAAATATTCTAACGAGAAACCTAATACAACAAAAAAGAGCAAAGGCGAGATTTCAGCGAGCAATTCTACTAACAAGATTTAATGTCGTCGCCAAATCGTAGCGGAGTTGAGCGTAGCGAAAAATTTCTTTAGTGAAAGAAACAGCGACGCTATGTTTTCTGTTAGTATCTTTCTCAACGATCTCTCTTCGTGGGAGTAAATTAATGCTAGCTTGCTAATAATAATACTAGCATAATAATACTACTACTAGCATGCTAATAATAATATAGCTGTGGCTTGGGTAGACCATGAGGCAGCTACACAGCTCCGCTCTCTTCACTCATAAAATGGACTCAAGTGTACGTGCTCTCCATTGCTTATTAGACGTCAACTTTCAGCTGGGCTCTAAGGCATGCACGCATTATGGGTGGCCATGCTTCTGCCAGCGACCAGCCGCAGAATTACCACTGTAGAGCGCTCGCTCCTACAGGGGTGCGGTAGTGATACCAAGAAGGCACAAGATGAGTACTCATCGATTGTTTTTAAATGAACCTTACAGCACACTGAACAACATAGAGCAAGTTAAGGCACGTGGAAGGTTATTGATGCCAATGATATCAGGAAAGATTATTGATGTGGTGATGGTGGTACGTATGGGTTATGATTATATTTTTTTGGGGAAATAGTGGTAGGAGCTAACTCTTTAACTGAAAAAATTCAACTGTACCTATCATCTACCTTGAGGTAGTCATCTAACAAAAGATTATTGGAGCTCATCTAGAAGAAAATGAATAAATATAGACTGACATTTGCGAGGCAAGGGCCTGAGAAACGCTCCTACAAGGCCTGCACGCACGCAAAGCTGCCATTACCAAGCTTCTCTATCATTTGTTCCTGCAAAGACAACCTGTCTTTACTACCCTGTGCCGAGGCCATGTTGGCAATGCACTGCAGAAGCTAGTTCACAATGAAGCTCTCGCACATTTCAAGCGATAAATTAATCGGATTAGAC